GCCAGTGTGTACTACTAAATTTATTATTCTTACATATTTGCTGATTACTATCTTTATTCCACCCATGTGATGCATTGAAGTTTTAATTTCATCCAACAATACAGCCTCTTCTCTATATGTTGGACTAATATCTTGGATACTTGATGGACGGAACACCTTTCCACTATAACCTGACAGCCTATTGCGTAACATCATAGAGAGAGAAAAAAAGAAACAAGTCATTGCATGAAAGAAACCATAGATAGAGTTTACAATTCAGATCCCATGCAAAGGCACAAAAATCACCCAATAGACCATAGCTTTTAGACAAAAATAAGGGTAAAGTGCACCACATGTCATCCAACTTTTCAAAATCTTATTTAACCCACTATACTATTTGTTATTTCAATTCACCCACAAACTATTAAAGGTGTTCAACTAGGCCACTTTATCCTTTTTTCTTTGGGACATTTTCATCACATTTAAGACAAAAATTAGTATAGTGAGTTCGATGAAATTTTAGAAAAGTTTAGTGATCGTGGGCATGCTTTTTTGAAAACATTTTCTGAAATTAAAGAAGAATAAATGGAAAAATAAATTTCTCAAAAAAGACAATTATAGCAAAAGTTATCATTGCATTCCTAAACCATTTGGCAAAAAAATAGAAATATTTAGCAACAAAAAGTCAAGTTACTTTATACAAATCAAAAGAAATTTTTTTTTTAAAAAGTACGAGAAAATATTTGGGAAACTATTGTCGTTGTGAATTGGTAGAGAAAATAAGAAAATATATCTCATTATAAAAGGAAATTTTTCCTTCAAGCTTTGTAGTTTTTTTGTTGTTTTGCTCTTGTTATTTCCTTGCTAAAATACTTCTACTATATTGCCAAAAAAATAGGAACGCAATGGTCCCTTTTGCCATGATAACTTGTTGCTAAGAAATTGCTTCATCCTTTTATCCTTTTTTAGTTTCAAAACAATTTTCCAAAAAAGAATGACAATCCTCACTAAACCTTAGTAAAATTTTATTTAACCCACGATACTATTTTTTGTCTTCAAAGTGACAAAAATGCCCCAATATTTGACCCAGAAAATTGACGCAATGACCCAATTGAACACTTTAAAAGTTTAATGGGTCATTGGACACAAAATAGTAAAATAATCTAAATAAGATTTTGAAAAAGTTTATTGACTACAGACGCACTAATGAACATGCTGGTAGACGAAGCAAAATGGATCCATCCACCAATCCTTCCACATAAACTAACCTTAAATGGATTTGGATGACCCATACGGGTGTTCATGGACCGCCGAGTAACCAGTCGACTTGTAATTTTGCTGATCCTAGCGACAACTAGTGGTTCAGCAAAATTGTATTCCATACGCTAATCATGTTCAATCGATTAATGGCTAATTAGTTAACCTATAGGATAGGCTCGAATATATAGGGTAATATAACCCTCTTGTATTTGTAGGAAAAAGAAAAATAGAATTAGATTAACAGAGAAAATGATACAATAGCTGTCCAAATTAACAAAAGTGTTTAATCCTACAACTCTAGAAAAACCACCAACAAAATAGAAAATAAAAAACACAATAGATAATTAAAACATGAAATATTCCAAATATTTATTTCCATTTTTTATACTTCTTGAAATCTATTAATTCATTTTTTATTCAGGATTGCAAGTTGCTTTACAACAAAAAATGTAATCTCTAAAAATTAAAAACACAATAAATAGAGTGGTGAAGTGGATAGAATTTATGAGAAAGGAAAAGAAATTTTGAAGAAAGAGAGAAAACTGAATAGTAGAGTAAATGAAATTAGTGTCAACGAAAATAGGAAATGGACAAAGTAAATGAAAGATAGGGTTAAATATACAAGTTTATATACGTTGCGAAAAATAAAATGTATAATGGCATAGGGCTCATAAATTAAATTATTAGTAAATGATTAAACAATTATGGATTGATGTTTGAATACTGGCTATCTTAACCAATTATGGATTGAGGTTTGGATACTGGTTATCTTAACTGTGATTTTTGAAAATTAAAAATCATAGCCTAACCTAATTTTTCAAATAGGTTCAGGTAACCTAACCATTTTAAAAATTACGAGTTGGTTACTTTATTTTTCAATTTGGACCAATTCAATTTTCTCGACTGCTCACTTTTTCGATTGAACACCCCTAATGACCCATAAAAATTCAACATTTTTAAATGGATAACTATTTGAATCCAATTGTATTGGTGAATTTAAATGAATTATCCATGTCATCCATATGCATCCACTTAATTTCAAAAAGAGAAAACACTTCCTGTGATTGCAAATATTAGAAGCCAAATTTTGTGGGACCATTCTATTCTCTCTTTCATGGCCTCCTCATATGCCAATAGCATTAGTTGAATTTTTTTCGTTTCTAATTTCTAGACTTCCTTTACCTTTTTGAAAATTATATTTTAGTCTCTATTCTTTTTTTTTTTAAATAAACTCTCACACAGAAATGGCTGCAAACACATTCTTTAGTAAGCAAGAAGCTAGAATGCATCAAACAATATCAAATTAAATTTTATTTTTTTATTCTTTTATTTATATAAATTAAGAATTTTTCTAATATGTGTCTCCATGGCATTGGTTAAGACGTATGAATGATACCTAACCTATCATGTAAATTCATACACTCATATTTATTACCTCCTCTATTTAAATACTTTCCCAAATTTATTTTCACTCTTATAGAAAAAAAAATTGAAGCTATCTTACTCATTAGCCAAACTCTTTTATAAAAGTGGCTTTATTTTGTTTATCTAGGCGTCAAGCAAGGGAATTATAGTTTATAGATGGCCCAACAATATAGCCTTTCTATAGTTTTTCTTAGCAATTAAATTAGGAAATTTCTCATTGAAAATGAAAAGCATACATTTTATCATAGGTCCTTATTATCATTTTTTTTTTTTAAAGGGATTATCATTTCATCTTTTATTCAGGCAACATTTTTTTTGCAACTAAATTTTATGTACAAAAATCAAAAACTTGAAACCTCATTGTTTCCTCATTTTGTTAAAATTTACTAGAATTAGGATTACAGTAGAGATTTCAAAATTTTCAAAATATGTTTTTTTGTGCAATACTTTGATCTTTAATTTAGGACTTGGGAGGATATATGGATAAATGGATGGATAGTGCTTTTACATTGGCCGTCTAAATAGCATCCATGTAGATCCATTTATTTAATAATTTTAATTGGGTTGGATCAATTTGATCCACTATCCATTTGACCAAAACTATTTGTCAACCATATATCCATTTTGTCACTTATGGTTGGAAGGGTAATGGTGGCTTGAAAGTGTGATCAATGAATTAAGACAGGAAACAAGGAAATTTGATGTAGAAAAGTTCCACCAGTTTCATCTTATAACTCTTTTTCATCTTATAAAGGTCCCACATTTTCATCTTGTGACTCGTTTGTTGGGAAAAAAAAAAAAAAAAGACTCTTTGTGTTGATTTTGGTTTAAGAGAGTGAGAAAGCCATAGATATTGGTGTTGTTAAGAACATCAAATCATTTGTTCATTTGGCCCTTCATGTTTAACTATTAGCCATTAACCCCGGATTAAGATCATGCACTACTGATGATGACCAAACTAATGCCATTTTTGAAGCACTACAGATGATCACCAAACTAATGCCATTTTTGAAATCTGCATATGTGCTCTCTGTTCTTTGCAAAGAATAGCACCTTCAGACTTGGCGACATTTGGAAGCGCCCAAAGGATTGGTTCTATGGAGAAACCTGAGTGCATATGGTCCAATTTACTGTTAGCCTAGTCATTTATAAAACATTTTTACAGCTAACCCAATTCCCAATTTAAGGTGAGAACATTGGCTGTCCTTCTGCTGTATATTCTAATAGAACCAGCATGTGCAACTGATAGATATCCTCAAATTCCTGTCAAAGTTATAGAAAAATTAGCACCACATTGTTACAGAGCTACCCATAAAGTTAAGAGACAAATATGATAACTTTCTTCTCCACAGAGTGATTCCTCGATGAGATACCCCATCTGTCTCCAGTTGCCACAACAGAAGTTGCTGGGAAACTGTGGTCACAGAAATTAAAATCACATTAGTTGCTTTGATTTTAGAAGCACGTTATGCTTTCATTTTGCTTTGGATAATCTGGACAGGTTTAAAAGGTTCTATAGTTTGTGGGTGGATAAAATCAAGTTCGTGAAGATGGAGGTAAGAGTATTGGGAGTTATTTTCGCGTGTGTCAGAATTTGTAGGAGGAGGAGGGGAAACCATGAAGCACTTTTGGAGCATGCATATCAGGAAGTCAAGGACAAAGGCAATACTACGAAAGTTTGAGACGCTGGCAATAATCAACAAAGTTACAGTATTAATTAGCAAAATGTACATTACTGGTAAGGGGGAAAATAAGAGACTAAGTGTTAGCAAAATAAACGCCGCCAGGAAAAAAATAATCACCGTAGAAGATGGAGGACGCTTTCTGGCCACAACAGTTGGCTCACATGGTCTTCTCTGCTGTAAATGTAATAGAGAAGAAGGCGGCGCCGCCGTGGGACATGGAGGTGGGTGCGGGCAATAAAATAAGATTGTCGAAGCAATTGAAGAAAGAGCCAAAAGATAAAATAGTAAAAGAGAAGGAGGAAAGCTCCAGCACTCTATACACAATTAAAGAACGCCAGCCAAGTTGAACTAAACATTAATGTGAAAGCACGACTTAATTATCCTTCAGTTGTTACTTCAACAAACTCTATACTTCTCTATCTGTATTACGTGTCCTTCATCAGAATCTGAAAAAATTAAGTAGTCAAATATCTTATCATAAACCGACCGTAACTAACACAGTTTACGGGTTCAATTTCAGATGCAAATCCAATTTCCATCATCTAACCATTGTTGACATTGAAAACTGCAACTGCAAGACTCGTATATACCTTGACTCTATTGGCATCCCATACATAACCTAGAAAGAAGAAATAGTAGTAGATCTCAGCCATGGCAACTAGTACTCCAGTTAACATCCCCTCTAAAATGAAGGCCTGGGTCTATGGCCAACATGGGAAACCCGAGGATGTCCTTAAGTTGGAATCTGAGGTTGATGTTCCTGACGTAAATGACGACCAGGTTTTGATCAAAGTACTTGCTGCGTCCCTGAATCCAATAGACTTCAAACGCATGGGTGGATCATTCAAGGCCACTGATTCTCCTCTACCGGCGAACCTCTATTTTTCTTTTTTTTGGGGGAAAAATTGTTGTTTGTTTTAGTCACTGGATAGATAGTCCTTGTGTAGATTTACTGTGTTTTTTGATCTGGTAGACTGTTGCGGGATATGATGTTGCGGCCGTGGTAGTTAGAGTTGGAAGCAAAGTGAAGGAATTCAAGGTTGGGGATGAAGTATACGGGGACATTCACGAGCAAGCCCACCACCCAAAGGATTGTGGGTCACTGGCGGAGTACACTGCAGTGGATGAGAAGGTACTAGCTCTGAAGCCCAAGAATTTGAGTTTTGCCGAGGCAGCTAGTCTTCCTCTTGCAGTTCAAACAGCATATGGGGGCCTTGAAAGCGCTGGGCTTTCAGCTGGTAAATCACTTCTTGTTCTTGGTGGTGCTGGTGGAGTTGGATCTTTCATCATTCAGGTATTTCATGTGTTTGTTTTTTTCCCCTGGTTTTCCAGTAGTTTAAAACACCTAGTAAAAATCAGCTCTAGTTGGTCAGTTCCAAAAAAATTAGTGATAAATGATAATTGTTGAGAATCAATTCACAAAAAGCTGTAGCAGTACTATACTAAGTCATACTTGGCAGAGCAAAAAATTACTTTTTGATCAATTAAAAGTAGTTCTGAAGATTGACCTTTGATCAGGAGACGAAGATAAATCATAGTACTACCTAAATTCATGCATTGACTGAAATGATTTCTTGATCTGATGCAGCTGGCAAAGCATGTGTTTGGTGCATCCAGAGTGGCAGCAACTTCCAGCGCTGGGAAACTGGAGTTACTTAAAACCGTAGGAGCTGATTTGGCAATCGACTACAAGAACAACAAGTATGAAGATTTGGAAGAGAAATTTGATGTGGTATTTGATACCGTTGGTAAGAATGAATCCTAAGCAATCAAATCAATCTCTTGCTCCCTGTTTTCTGCAGCACGTAAAAGTTCTGATGCTAGTATTTAATTCTGCAATGTGTGAAAATGAGCAGGTGAGAGTAGTAGGGGTATCAAGGCAGTAAAAGAATGCGGAAGGGTGGAGACAATCTGGCCGGCCGGGCCAGTGGTTCCCCCTACTTTCGTGTTTGTGGTCACTTCGACTGGCTCTGTCTTGAGCAAACTCAATCCTTACTTAGAGGAGGGGAAGCTGAAGCCGGTGATTGACCCTAAAGGGCCATTCCCATTCTCTAACGCCATTGAAGCATTTTCCCATCTTCAAAGTGGCAGAGCTACCGGCAAGGTGGCCATATATCCAATTCCCTGATTATGAATCGAATCATTGCCCTTTCCAATCCCTGGACGCATCACAGCCTTTTATTGAGAATAAATGCGATTGCTTATAATAATAAATGCAACTGCTAGTTCTGTTTAGTACGTGAAGAGTTTGCTAGTCCTATTTCTTTTTATAATTCAGTAACAAAAACGCCAAAACTTCTTTTTATAATTCTTTGTCTGTAACTTTTGACTGCCTGAAATGGCATTTATCCATTTAAAGTATGCCACGTATCCATACGTGGCTCCCAAACTTTTTTTTTTATTCTTCTTTTTGTTATCCATCCAAACAAAGGAGTAAAATACACTTTATCTCGTGGTTTAGCAATTTTTTACGTAACTCTTGATAGGTTGTAATTTTATCATTTATTTTATAACTAATTTCCCCTATTACTTAACCCAATGTGAATTAATTATTAGATTCTACTCACTTTTCGTAATTTGCATTTATTTCAGGGAATAGAATAAAAATGTCACAATCATGGCCAATTTGACGGTCATCGGGAAAGAGTTCAAATAGCAGGCAATCAAGGGCATTCTTGGAACAAGGAGATGCATGACCTTTTTGGTAATTTTGACCGAAGACAGCAACTAGAAAAAGGGAAAAGAAAGGAAACCTCAGAGTCTTCTTTTTCTCTCGTGCGGCGGACGCCGCACAGGAGGAGTAGCAATTAGAATAGGAATTAAGATTGCAGGAGGAGAGCACTATCCTCTGGTCTTCTTTAGTTTTTTCGTCTTGTAGTATAGCTTGGAGCTTTGACTTTTCTTTTGGTTGGTAGTAGTTCCTTTCCCCTGCGTATGTCAGGAAGAATTAGTAACAAGCAATCACCTTTTGTAGCCTCGTTTTTCCTTTCCTGAAGCGAATTGGACTTTCCCAAGACGCAGACCATGGCCGCGACTCTTGTTTTTATTTCCTGTGGATTTTGTTCATTAACTATGAACTAAATTTCTTTTTCTAGTCAAGGAGCAACGGATGCTTTGGGTCGTCTAAAATTGTGAGATCGATTTAATTTAATCTTTTTCTTTTATTTATTGGTATTCGCATATTCCTTAATTGCTATGCTTATGGTTATTTAATTCATTGATTGTCTAGGATCCAGATAATTAGTTGATTGGGTAATCTATTGTCAATTAGGGCATTAAATCCGTAATTGTTTAATTACTCTAAAATAGTGACAACTGGCATGATTAGGTTTGTGTCAGGGGAATACGCGGGCTAATCTAAAATAACCCTGGTAGTGCGTTATTTGATTAGAATAGGGCTCCTCTAATACGTAAGGCAATTGGAAAATTAAATTCTATGGGCGTACCTAGGATTATTTCTCAATTAGAGCAGTGATTAACGGGCGTACCTTAATCATCGACACAGTAAGGAGGGGTTGACTGTCTTCGCTTGTTTGGCAGTTATAACCTATTTATTGATAAATAATTGGAATTGCCTTTGCTTATCGATGATCAATTAGGTGAACCATTGCTGAAGTTATTCCTTGGCTAGATTCTTTGATTTTAGTAAATTGTTATTTAATTTCTAGTTGGCTATTTTATTTTTATTATTTTACTTTTAGTTGGATTGCTTAAATTGTCACCCCTGAGATAAAAACACCCCCTTTGTCACTGTGAATTTGAAAAGGAACAATTGCTCCCAGTTCCTGTGGATTCGACCCTGCTTACCACTATCTACAGAAATTACTTTTAGTTTGAGCAGGTTTTATTATTGCACAGGCTTCGACAACCTGTCAATTTTTTGGCGCCGTTGCCGGGGACTGGTGTCAGATTAATTTGTTTCTTTTTGAGTTCACCTTGTTTTCATTTTTAATTTATTTTTCTTTTATTTTTTTATGGCTTCTAACAGTTCGTATTTTGGTGAGATACTGGATTTTGTTTCCGGGAAAGTCGATGTGACTAGTTTCTTCGCCAAGTCTGCATATGCAGAGGCAGTAGACTCTATTAGAAAAAGAATGGCTACTGCAACCTGTAAAATTTGTTATGCCAGGGATCATTCAACCAGTATGTGCCCCGAATATCAAGATAATCTGAGTGTCCCATTCAATAATTACGGAGATTTTTCACCCTGATCTCAAACGTGGTATGACCCTAATCCAAACGGGTATGATCAAGGATGGTGGGATAACTCCGGTTATAATTATACAACGGGGCCAATGAATTTTCAGCAGTATGAGTCTCAAGAATCGGCATCTATGTCAGCAGACTAACTATGTCTATTGACATCCAGAATGAATCGATTGGCTTCTCAAATGGAAGAATTGCCCTCGAAAACCATTGTTGATCTAGAAGAAAATGAGAGTGCAATTTGCTTGACTGGTGATGAGGAGCTGCAAGAGTGTCAAAATGAGAAATCTACAGATGCAGTTGAAAAAGAAGCCGAAAAGGAAGAAATGGAACCCCAACCGCAACCCATTCAAGTGAAAGAATCCAGTGAACAATCTCCAAATGCGGTGACATCTCCTCCACTCCTTCATCAATATTCTCCTGACTCTTACTCTTCAATTCCTGTTGATGAAATTGACTTTATTATACCAGACAATTTTGAATTTCATGACAGGAATAAATTAAGAGTGGCGATGACGAGATATCTTGAACCAATAAATGCAAGTGAGGGAGAAGTGAATGGAGAATGCAATTTATCATCGACTCGTTTGGCGCCATTCACTAGTCCATGGAAGCCCGTAGCTCGTATGCTCAAGAATTATTCTATTTACGAGGGTTATCAGGACTATATAGAGGATGAAGCATTAAGACGAGCCACACGATTTTATCCTCCATGAACGAAATATGATAACGTCTAGCCAAAGACATTAAAGAGAGGCACTCATTGGGAGGCAACCCAATTTCTTTTAGTTGGTTGTTTGATTTTATTTGTTAGTTTAATTATGTTTTTCCTTAAATTCGACTGATTTTGGGTTTCAGTTTTCGTTTTTGCTGATTTATAGGTGCCCTTCAATCATGACGCGCCCTCGTGGTGACGTGCAGGAAGCTCACGATCAGAAACTTCTGGGAGCTCTCTTGCCCTCGTGACGCGCCCGCGTGGTGACGTGCAGGAAGCTCACGATCAGAAACTTCTGGGAGCTCTCTTGCCTTCATGACGCGCCCACGTCACGTTCGCGGGAGAGATGAGTATTTAAAAAAATTCAAGAACGGTTGTTGATTGTTGGTTATCTCTGCTTTTGAATCTCGAAAATAAAATTTGCTAATTTTTTTTATTTAAAAAATTTTTTTTTTTAAAATTTTTGTTCCACCGTAGCTTAGATTTTCAAAGTATAAAAAAAAAAAAACAATTTCTCTTTCTTTTCTTTTCTTTCTTTCCTTTCTTTTTCTTTCTTTTTCTTTCTTTCTTCTTCTTTCTTTTTCTTTTCTTTCTTTCTTCTCCTCTATTTTGCTCTGTCCGCCGCCCGTGCCCACCGCCATCTCCCACTCCACCGCGCGCCACCTCTTCCTCGACCAGACCGCGCGCCGCCGTTCCTCCTTGGCGACCAGCCCCACCACCACCGCGCCAACCTGCTGGCAACCCATCAACTCCTAAGCTCGTGAACCTCCTTAGCTCAGCTCGCCCAGATCTCCTCTTCCTCCCGCGCGGCAGCATCACGCACTCACCAGCTCGTCGCTTCCCTTGCTCGCTCCACCGCTCCTGCTGTCCACCACTCGCGCACGCGCAACCCAATCGACTGCACGCCGCCATCGCGGGCAGCCTCACCTCGCGCCACCATCAGCTCGTGCCACTCTACCCTCAACTCAACCCAAGCTCTTCACCGCCGCTGCTCCGCTGCTCGCTCCATTCCCACCTGTCCAAATTGACAGGTGGAGGTATTGTAATTTCCTTTTCGATTAGTGTTTTCTGGTTCATCACTTACTAAATTTTGCACATTTTTCGTGGGTTTGGTGATGGCTGAAGGCAGGACATGATTTGGGCATTTTCTGGGGTTCATTTTGGGCTGAATTGAGTTTAATTGCTGCTTGATTGTTGGCCATTTGATTATTTTTCCCTGTGACTCACCAGTGGTACTGGTTGATTAATTTTCCAGTTTAAGTTCTTGCGATTGAGTTGCTGCCATTGAATTTAATTCTTTCCTGTCTGTGCACCAGTGGTACTGGTTGCAGTGTTGCTTTCCATTTCTTAATCCTTTGTACTGGCCTGCCTATTTGATTCTTGGGTTTTGGTGCCTGAACTGTTCTCGAATTCTAACCATTGGTTGTTGCCATTGCCTGTTGCTTGGCCCAATTGCTAAGTTTTGATCGTTTGAGTTGTGCAATTTCTTGTCCAATTGGAGCCATTTGGACAGATTTTGGGTGGGCAAGTTTTGCCGCTCTCTGTTGATCTTTGGAAGGCATTTCTGACCGTATTCTACGTATTCAAATTGGTTGAATTCACTGCTTTGTTAAGGTTATTTTTGGTATCACTTGGGTTCTACTTGGCTGATTTCTGTCTTGCGTCCCTTGAAGTGCCTTTGGTTGGGTATTTTCTGCATTTGTTTGTTGAATTGGAAGGCTACTGTGCCACTTCCATTGCTTATTGCTGTTGGTGGAGTCTAATTGACTTGCTGGGAGTATTTTACCTATTGATTTCAATTGCTAAATCTTTAGAGCATTTGTTGCGATTTTGGACTGCCTGCATTTGACCCAATTGGGGCCACCCGTGAGTATTGATTGAAATTGCTGTATTGTTGGGATATTTGTCTAGTCTCCGGGTGCTTGGGTTGTGCATTTTGTTGATTGGGTTGTCTACTAGGGAGGCACCGGTGGCTATTAAATTGTTATTGCTTTGAATTTGCTGTTTACATTACCTATGGGCAATTTTTGTCTCTTGTTGATTGAAATGGCATTTGGAGAAAATGGTAAGACCCGAGCCCTCTTCTTCTGCGCCTCCCCCATCGATGGCCTCACCACTTGCGGGCTCAGATTCACAACGTAGATGAGCGAATGACGAACATCACCCGTCAAGTGGCAAGGATGTCTCAGAACTCGGCTTCCCTCCAC